AAGATTGTTGGACAAAACTACCCATCAAACAAACATAAAATGTAAGGACAGTTGAAATATTTGGACTTGAGCCTGCAATTGTTTTTATTCCACTTGGCAAACAATTCCCACCCTCAAAATACATCATGATGAAGGCCTATAGCCTAGGCTATCGGCTGAGCATGGACAAAGTAAATAAAACCCATGACATATTTGTTGTAAAATTCTCAACTGTTTATTGTATTAATTTGTTGGAAGCTGCATTCGAGTGGTTTTCATGATTCTCATTATCCCAACCGAGAATCAGAAGGGGGGTATCCATGGGATTCTGCCGCCCTGGTGGAGTCACCACTGGGATGTAAGACTCTCAATAGTTGATTCCAGCAGCTATGTGTATATTTAGCCTTGGTTATACACTTGTCTGCTCCGTACATTCTGGCTCCGCATGGGCCCTCCCTTCTTGCCCGAAGGAATGCCACATCAGAATTCCAATGTGAATCGGGCCAGATTCACGTTGTGGGAATCAGCGAGGTTAAATTTCCCACACTAACACAGCCACCTTGCTTGCTGAGCTTGACGTTGCTGCTCTGCGATCTCCCATTAACATGCTAATCTCTCACATTAACATAGCCGCCTCCACGCGATCGTCGTGGAGGTCGCCCTCCGATCTTACATTAACATTATGCTAATTTTTACATTTACATCATTAGCCCCACCCACTTCGTTTATGACTCTTGGGCTACACCCATTTTGACACCTTTAAAACAGTCTGCCTCAGCAGCTTCCCCTCTCTTTTTTGCCTCCTGATGACGATCGCTTGTGTTGTGATCGAAACGTCGTAGTTTTTTTAAATTATTTTTTTGTTATTTTCTTTGAACCTATCGACTTGACTTCTGCAGTCACGAAAGCTTTAAGTCAAAATTCTGATTCCAGTTCTGGAGCAGCAGATATTCAAAGCAATAAACACATTGGAGTGTTTTAACCTGCGCTGTTATTTTACATTTTCTCTTCACCTCTGCTGTTGTAGTCATCAAATGTGACATCAGAAGTACAAATTGCGTTGGAGGTGGGTGAGTGACCTCCCTGTTGGCCACAAAGTGATGATTGAGTAATGGGCTTTGGCATATCCCACGGGCTCATTTATCAAATTGCTCGAATGGATTTCATACCATCCTTGTCACTTATAGATTTTCTTGTTTTGCTACAACTGGAGCCCCTGCTTTTGAGACAGCTATCAAGTGAACCGTTTTTGGTCTGTGTGCACTTGTGTATTGGTTTCCGTCACGATGATTTTACTTATGTAGTGTGATGGACGGAGGCACACACTGGAGTTGGAGGCAACACGTTCATTTAACAACTCCCCAACAGGGTAACTCACTAAACGTACACTGGTTCTACTGCTAAGTGATAGCTACACAGTTAACTATGTGAGCAGCGGGTTAACTGCACGCACGGGTCAGTCAGCCTACACGCTGCCTGACCCATGATCCCGAGCGAACACCGATGACCCGGAGACGATGAGACGCAGCACCAAAGGTTGATTCCACCGACGAGCCTCCATTGCTCTCGGGGCTTCCCCTTTATCCCCTCCCCCCCCCCCCCCCCCCCGAGCGTAGCCTTGCTGCACTTTCGGCCACGCCCCCTTCTGGATCTTGTCAGAAGGCTCTCGGCTCCCCGTCACGTGTCCCTCGAGCCCCCTTTGGCCCCCTTGCTACCCTGTCTCGGTCACGTGCCCTCTCGGGTTCACACGGAGTAGCACGTTCTTACTTGCTCTCCTCCAACCAACCACCAGAACCATGCCCCCTGTGGCCAGCTTCCGTGTCAACCTACGGTCTGGTGGCAGAGGACTCCCGACGTGCGTTTCCACTCCTGCGACAGTAGCTAGCGCTAAGCGACATAGTGACACCCATAACGTCACTACGCTTACATAAACGCTGAGCCCAGGATACAGAGATGAAACCGCTGGTCATGTGTCACAGACTTATGCAGAAACAACCGAATAGCACGATTGCCACAGATGAAAACAGATTAAGCCATTTACTGAAACAGCATTTTTTTTTGTTCCAGGTATCAGACATTTGAGTTTATTCAGAGGAAGAGGGCAGCAGGGTGGCAAGGGGGTAACACGTGTGCCTCGCAGCTAGAAGTCCCTGTGTTTGATTACCGACCCAGGCACCTTCCTGCATGGAGTCTATATAGTCTCCCCACCTCTGTTATGCATGTGTTTTCTTTCATAGTTGAAACAAAAAGAACACACAATGCAACTTCTAGTGGCCAAACATCCGAATGCCGAAAGATTACCTGCAAATTACTCAATTGGATGACACTTATCAATATTACCCCCTAGTACAAAAACACATGGCAGGGATCATCCTGAAAAAGAGTCATTGAGGCTTTTCAGCGTAAATAAGCGAGTTGACAATGATATTAAATAGAGGTGCCTAAATGTATTTGTAAATTGATTGGTGATAAGCTTGCACTGCTGAAGAATTATACTGGTAGGAACCTCCTGGTTACACCAGCCCACGGGATTATTGTGTCCGTCCCTCCATCGTGCAACCAAAAATGGGAGGGGTGGGGCTGGGTGGGGAGGGGAGGGGAGGGTGGGGAGGGGCTGGGTGGGGACGGTGGGGAAGGGCTGGGTGGGGAGGGTGGGGAGGGGCTGGGTGAGGAGAGTGAGGCTGGGTGGGGGGTGGGAGGGGTGGGGCTGGGTGGAGAGGGGCCACCCCGTGGTGCCCTTATAAAACTCAAGGTTTAACCTACTCACGCCGGCTTGTGCCCGCCCTCATAGTCGGGCATATTTGCGGAATACACCACGTGGTGCCGCCGTTGACCCTGGCCATTGACCGAGCAACCCAACGTTCTTACCAGCTCCCTCCGCAGGAATGTGTTTATAAAGATGTGTGATTTTACAGTTCTGGGGGGAAAAAAAACTACTTCAATGATATTCCGTGATCAAGATATTTCCCCTATATTTCAAAGTCACCGCGATCTGATACCACGTTCCCAACCCCAGTTAACTGGAGTGTACTTTGAGTTGGTCCCCGTTTGAATTGAAGAACGCGAGTTGATTTCAGCAAAGTGACATTTCCGTGAGTTATTGCGCGAGTTCGGCAAGACCACGTTTCTGACAGAATCAAATTTTAAACCTGAGATGTTAATCACCTCGCCTGGTATACAGGAGGTCATGAGGTTGATCCCCACCCTGACGCCTGTACATTTGGAATTTGAATGTATTCCCCGTGGTCACGTGGATTTTTCTCAGGGTCCTCGTTTTTGCCCCCTCCACATTTAGAAACACGCGTTAAGAGTATTTTGCTGCTATGAATTTCGACATGATAAACCACTGCATTGAGCTATCATTTGTAGTCAGGTCGCTTCCGAAAAAGGGCTTATATAGCTCAGTAGGCCTTACCTGGTACAATAAAAAAGTGTAATAGTTTAGTTGAATAGTTTTAAATGGTATGTGAAATGTTCTCACGGCCCACAACATTACTGACCGTAATACATTTGAACTTCTGCTCATTCCGAACTGTGATGAAGAGAATTTGGGCCAGGCCCATGAAAGTGAAACTGGCCTGTTGAATTTTGGCCTCCAGCCCGTGATGACAGCCAAGTTTATGGAAAACGTAGAAACGGTGCCTGAGAGGGGGGCGGGAGGCAGTTATGGGTGTGGGATTTTGCTGGTGTGACCTTGTTAAGGCTCCTTGTGGCGCTCACCTTCCACCGGTTGTGGCAAAGAGCGGCAGAGCGGCTGCGAGTCTCACGACCGCTTTGCAAGCGCTCGCAGCTTCAGAAAGCTTTTCATCTCATGTTTATTATACTGTTTACACTGAACACAGCAGATGACAAAACTCCATAACGTTGATTCAAATCTTCGAGTTACGGGTGTCAAGGGCCTACAGTCGGGCTAAATTATTGTGCTTCGCAATGGACGACGGAAACCATATATGTTTTCTTTACTTAAGTTTTGGAATGCTGAACAGGCACAACTTGAAGTGTTCATGCTCAAAGGCATTTACGCAACCTCATGAAAATACAAAGAACTTTTTTTCGTTTTCTAAATGTTACACAGGAAAGGCTTGTTTTATTTCGGACGGTTCAGCAAAATTTCAAAACTGAAAATACGTAACCTCGTCAAAAGTGTGCGCCCATTACCGACGTGGCAGTGACCGGTAACCACCTCAAGTTGCATAACCCTGGGAGAGTGTCAATTGCGTTCTGCTTCATGCGTTGCCATATATATGGTAAAATAAGGTAAAGGTGCAGCACCTGCAGTCGCTCTCGCCACGGCTGATGAAAAAAACCTCCACTAGAGGGAGCTCTAAGAAGGCCCCTGTATTGGGTGCATTATTTGGTCAATTGAGGCAATTGGTGGGACCCCGGGGTCCCATCACTGCCCCGGGGTGGGAAAAACCACGTAGCGACATGAGTCTTGCTGCCTTACCGACAATAAAACTAGTGTCAATCGATTGGCCTCGTCGAGAGCTACTCGGGGCACTAAGTTTCGTAAAAAGTTGAAAAATTACACAAACACGTTAAATTCACTGCGGGGGCAGCGGGGCTCGCCTTGGCAAAGAAGCTGAGGATCGACGGCTGACCGGAGGGCGTTGTCGCTGCGCGCGACTGCAGCGGACGCCCCCCGGGGCTCGCGTTTGGCCGGTGGGGTGGCGCCCATCGTGTTGATCGCCGCCTGCTGCTGGTGCATAAGCCAACCGTGCTAATCAGAGGTGCAGAGGAAGGGTAAAAAATGAAACACAATAAGCAGCTCCAAAGAAAATGCTTAAATCTAGTCTTAAAAGTGCATCACTGATGTTGGCCGTGAGCGAGAATCGAACTTGAGCGCGTGACATCTGGTCACCACGCCAGCATTTGTGTGCCTTGTTTTAAGAGTATTTTCACCTGCTGCCCGTATTTTTATTGAATTTTGTCAATATTTATCTTCCAGTGATTGTTGCAAATGTGCTCCCCTCCCTACCCCCCCCCCCCCGCCCCCCCCCCGCCCCCTGTGCTGGATACAGAAGGTTCATGGACACGATGATAGAAGAAATTCCGGGGGGTGCCTTCAGTGACCTTCCCAACATTACAAAAATGTGAGTGCACATTTGCATTGTCCTGCGACTTGCGTTGACAGCCAGTGCTGCATCCAACCATTGGCTCACTCCGGCTCGGTGGTGTCTGTAATAGGATTGCTGTGATATAATGTTCATGATACCATACGATATCCAATCTCACAATACCACAACAACAATATCAGTTTCCCCTAACACTTGGAATTGTATTTTGTTTCTATCGCATTGTTTTTGTGTTTTAAGATACGTCCAGTATGAATATATATTACTTAAAAGTTTGTGTTAAATGAAGACCGCTTGTGTTGATGAAGACTGCTTGTGTTGATGAAGACCGCTTGTGTTGATGAAGACCGCTTGTGTTGATGTAGACCGCTTGTGTTGATGAAGACCGCTTGTGTTGACGAAGACCGCTTGTGTTGACGAAGACCGCTTGTGTTGACGAAGACCGCTTGTGTTGATGAAGACTGCTTGTGTTGATGAAGACCGCTTGTGTTGATGAAGACCGCTTGTGTTGATGTAGACCGCTTGTGTTGATGAAGACCGCTTGTGTTGACGAAGACCGCTTGTGTTGATGAAGACCGCTTGTGTTGATGAAGACCGCTTGTGTTGACGAAGACAGCTTGTGTTGATGAAGACCGCTTGTGTTGATGAAGACCGCTTGTGTTGATGAAGACCGCTTGTGTTGATGATGACTGCTTGTGTTGACGAAGACCATTTGTGTTGATGAAGACCGCTTGTGTTGATGAAGACCGCTTGTGTTGATGTAGACCGTTTGTGTTGTTGAAGACCGCTTGTGTTGTTGAAGACCGCTTGTATTGATGAAGACCGCTTGTGTTGATGAAGACCGCTTGTGTTGATGAAGACCGCTTGTGTTGACGAAGACCGCTTGTGTTGACGAAGACTGTTTGTGTTGACGAAAACCGCTTGTGTTGATGAAGACCGCTTGTGTTGATGAAGACTGCTTGTGTTGATGAAGACCGCTTGTGTTGATGAAGACCGCTTGTATTGATGAAGACCGCCTGTGTTGATGAAGACCGCTTGTGTTGATGAAGACCGCCTGTGTTGATGAAGACCCCTTGTGTTGATGAAGACCGCTTGTGTTGATGAAGACTGCTTGTGTTGATGTAGACCGCTTGTGTTGACGAAGACTGTTTGTGTTGATGAAGACCGCTTGTGTTGATGAAGACCGCTTGTGTTGATGAAGACTGCTTGTGTTGATGAAGACCGCTTTGTGTAGATGAAGGCCGCTTGTGTTGATGAAGACTGTTTGTGTTGATGAAAACCGCTTGTGTTGATGAAGACCGCTTGTGTTGATCAAGACCGCTTGTGTTGATGAAGACCGCTTGTATTGATGAAGACCGCTTGTGTTGACGAAGACCATTTGTGTTGATGAAGACCGCTTGTGTTGATGAAGACCGCTTGTGTTGACGAAGACCGCTTGTGTTGATGAAGACCGCTTGTGTTGATGAAGACCGCTTGTGTTGACGAAGACAGCTTGTGTTGATGAAGACCGCTTGTGTTGATGAAGACCGCTTGTGTTGACGAAGACCATTTGTGTTGATGAAGACTGCTTGTGTTGATGAAGACCGCCTGTGTTGATGAAGACCGCTTGTGTTGATGAAGACCGCTTGTGTTGACGAAGGCCGCTTGTGTTGATGAAGACCGCTTGTGTTGATGTAGACTGCTTGTGTTGATGAAAATCTACTTGTGTTGATGAAGACCGCTTGTGTTGATGAAGACTGCTTGTGTTGATGAAGACCGCTTGTGTTGACGAAGACCGTTTGTGTTGACGAAGACTGCTTGTGTTGATGAAGACCGCTTGTGTTGATGAAGACCGCTTGTGTTCACGAAGACTGCTTGTGTTGATGAAGACCGCTTGTGTTGATGAAGACCGCTTGTTTTGATGAAGACCGCTTGTGTTGATGAAGACCGCTTGTGTTGATGAAGACCGCTTGTGTTGATGAAGACCGCCTGTATTGATGAAGACCGCATGTGTTGATGTAGACCGCTTGTGTTGATGAAGACCGCTTGTGTTGACGTCGACCGCTTGTGTTAATGTAGACCGCTTGTGTTGATGAAGACCGCTTGTGTTCACGAAGACTGCTTGTGTTGATGAAGACCGCTTGTGTTGATGAAGACCGCTTGTGTTGATGATGATTGCTTGTGTTGACGAAGACAGCTTGTGTTGATGAAGACCGCTTGTGTTGATCAAGACCGCTTGTGTTGATGAAGACCGCTTGTGTTGATGAAGACTGCTTGTGTTGACGAAGACCATTTGTGTTGATGAAGACTGCTTGTGTTGATGAAGACCGCTTGTGTTGATGAAGACCGCCTGTGTTGATGAAGACCGCTTGTGTTGATGAAGACCGCTTGTGTTGACGAAGGCTGCTTGTGTTGATGAAGACCGCTTGTGTTGTTGTAGACTGCTTGTGTTGATGAAAATCTACTTGTGTTGATGAAGACCGCTTGTGTTGATGAAGACCGCTTGTGTTGATGAAGTCCGCTTGTGTTGACGAAGACCGTTTGTGTTGACGAAGACTGCTTGTGTTGATGAAAACCGCTTGTGTTGATGAAGATCGCTTGTGTTCACGAAGACTGCTTGTGTTGATGAAGACCGCTTGTGTTGATGAAGACCGCTTATTTTGATGAAGACCGCTTGTGTTGATGAAGACCGCTTGTGTTGATGAAGACCGCTTGTGTTGATGAAGACGCCTGTATTGATGAAGACCGCATGTGTTGATGTAGACCGCTTGTGTTGATGAAGACCGCTTGTGTTGACGTCGACCGCTTGTGTTAATGTAGACCGCTTGTGTTGATGAAGACCGCTTGTGTTGATGAAGACCGCTTGTGTTGATGTAGACCGTTTGTGTTGATGAAGACCGCCTGTGTTGACGAAGACTGCTTGTGTTGATGAAGACCGCTTGTGTTGATGAAGACCGCTTGTGTTGATGAAGACCGCTTGTGTTGATGAAGGCCGCTTGTGTTGATGAAAATCTGCTTGTGTTGATGAAGACCGCTTGTGTTGATGAAGACCGCTTGTGTTGATGAAGACCGCTTGTGTTGATGTAGACCACTTGTGTTGATGTAGACCGCTTGTGTTGATGAAGACCGCTTGTGTTGATGTAGACCGCTTGTGTTGATGTAGACCACTTGTGTTGATGTAGACCGCTTGTGTTGATGATGACTGCTTGTGTTGATGTAGACTGCTTTTGTTTAAGAAGACCGCTTGTGTTGATGAGGACCGTTTGTGTTGATGAAGACCGCTTGTGTTGATGAAGACAGCTTGTGTTGATGAAGACCGCTTGTGTTGACGTCGACCGCTTGTGTTGATGTAGACCGTTTGTGTTGATAAAGACCGCCTGTGTTGATGAAGACCGCTTGTGTTGATGAAGACCGCATGTATTGATGAAGACCGCCTGTGTTGACGAAGACAGCTTGTGTTGATGTAGACCGCTTGTGTTTATGAAGACCGCTTGTGTTGATGAAGACCGCTTGTGTTGACGTCGACCACTTGTGTTGATGTAGACCGTTTGTGTTGATAAAGACCGCTTGTGTTGATGTAGACCGTTTGTGTTGATAAAGACCGCCTGTGTTGATGAAGACCGCTTGTGTTGATGAAGACCGATTGTGTTGATGATGACTGCTTGTGTTGACGAAGACCATTTGTGTTGATGAAGACTGCTTGTGTTGACGAAGACCATTTGTGTTGATGATGACCGCTTGTGTTGATGAAGACCGCTTGTGTTGATGTAGACCGCTTGTGTTGATGAAGACCGCTTGTGTTGATGAAGACCGCTTGTGTTGACGTCGACCGCTTGTGTTGATGAAGACCGCTGGTGTTGATGAAGACCGCTTGTGTTGATGAAGACCGCTTGTGTTGATGAAGACCGCTTGTGTTGATGAAGACCGCTTGTGTTGATGTAGACCGCTTGTGTTGATGAAGACCGCTTGTGTTGATGAAGACCGCTTGTGTTGACGTCGACCGCTTGTGTTGATGAAGACCGCTTGTGTTGATGAAGACCGCTTGTGTTGATGAAGACCGCTTGTGTTGATGAAGACCGCTTGTGTTGATGTAGACCGCTTGTGTTGATGAAGACCGCTTGTGTTGATGAAGACCGCTTGTGTTGACGTCGACCGCTTGTGTTGATGAAGACCGCTTGTATTGATGAAGACCGCATGTGTTGATGAAGACCGCTTGTGTTGATGAAGACCGCCTGTGTTGATGAAGACCGCTTGTGTTGATGAAGACCGTTTGTGTTGATGATGACTGCTTGTGTTGACGAAGACCGCTTGTGTTGATGAAGACCGCTTGTGTTGATGAAGACCGCTTGTGTTGACGAAGACCGCTTGTGTTGACGAAGACCGCTTGTGTTGACGAAGACCGCTTGTGTTGATGAAGACTGCTTGTGTTGATGAAGACCGCTTGTATTGATAAAGACCGCCCGTGTTGATGAAGACTGCTTGTGTTGATGAAGACCGCTTGTGTTGACGAAGGCCGCTTGTGTTGATGAAGACCGCTTGTGTTGATGTAGACTGCTTGTGTTGATGAAAATCTACTTGTGTTGATGAAGACCGCTTGTGTTGATGAAGACCGCTTGTGTTGATGAAGACCGCTTGTGTTGATGTAGACCACTTGTGTTGATGTAGACCGCTTGTGTTGATGAAGACCGCTTGTGTTGATGAAGACAGCTTGTGTTTAAGAAGACCGCTTGTGTTGATGAAGACCGCTTGTGTTGACGTCGACCGCTTGTGTTGATGTAGACCGCTTGTGTTGATGAAGACCGCTTGTGTTGACGAAGACTGTTTTTGTTGATGAAGACCGCTTGTGTTGATGAAGACCGCTTGTCTTGATGAAGACCACTTGTGTTCACGAAGACTGCTTGTGTTGATGAAGACCGCTTGTGTTGATGTAGACCGCTTGTGTTGATGAAGACCGCTTGTGTTGACGAAGACCACTTGTGTTCACGAAGACTGCTTGTGTTGATGAAGACCGCTTGTGTTGATGAAGACCGCTTGTGTTGATGAAGACCGCTTGTGTTGATGAAGACCGCTTGTGTTGATGAAGACCGCTTGTGTTGATGTAGACCGCTTGTGTTGATGAAGACCGCTTGTGTTGATGAAGACCGCTTGTGTTGATGAAGACCACCTGTATTGATGAAGACCGCTTGTGTTGATGTAAACCGCTTGTGTTGATGAAGACCGCTTGTGTTCACGAAGACTGCTTGTGTTGATGAAGACCGCTTGTGTTGATGTAGACCGCTTGTGTTGATGAAGACCGCTTGTGTTCACGAAGACTGCTTGTGTTGATGTAGACCGTTTGTGTTGTTGAAGACCGCTTGTGTTGATGTAGACCGTTTGTGTTGATGAAGACCGCCTGTGTTGACGAAGACTGCTTGTGTTGATGAAGACCGCTTGTGTTGATGAAGACCGCTTGTGTTGATGAAGGCCGCTTGTGTTGATGAAAATCTGCTTGTGTTGATGAAGACCGCTTGTGTTGATGAAGACCGCTTGTGTTGATGATGACCGCTTGTGTTGATGTAGACCGCTTGTGTTGATGAAGACCGCTTTTGTTTAAGAAGACCGCTTGTGTTGATGAAGACCGTTTGTGTTGATGAAGACCGCTTGTGTTGATGAAGACAGCTTGTGTTGATGAAGACCGCTTGTGTTGACGTCGACCGCTTGTGTTGATGTAGACCGTTTGTGTTGATAAAGACTGCCTGTGTTGATGAAGACCGCTTGTGTTGATGAAGACCGCTTGTGTTGATGAAGACCGCTTGTTTTGATGAAGACCGCTTGTGTTGATGAAGACCGCATGTATTGATGAAGACCGCCTGTGTTGACGAAGACAGCTTGTGTTGATGTAGACCGCTTGTGTTTATGAAGACCGCTTGTGTTGATGAAGACCGCTTGTGTTGATGAAGACCGCTTGTGTTGATGATGACTGCTTGTGTTGACGAAGACCATTTGTGTTGATGAAGACTGCTTGTGTTGACGAAGACCATTTGTGTTGATGAAGACCGCTTGTGTTGATGAAGACCGCTTGTGTTGATGAAGACCGCTTGTGTTGACGTCGACCGCTTGTGTTGATGAAGACCGCTGGTGTTGATGAAGACCGCTTGTGTTGATGAAGACCGCTTGTGTTGATGAAGACCGCTTGTGTTGATGAAGACCGCTTGTGTTGATGAAGACTGCTTGTGTTGATGAAGACCGCTTGTGTTGATGAAGACCGCTTGTGTTGACGTCGACCGCTTGTGTTTATGAAGACCGCTTGTGTTGATGTAGACCACTTGTGTTGATGTAGACCGCTTGTGTTGATGAAGACCGCTTGTGTTGATGAAGACCGCTTGTGTTGATGAAGACCGCTTGTGTTGATGATGACTGCTTGTGTTGATGAAGACCGCTTGTGTTGATGTAGACCGCTTGTGTTGATGAAGACCGCTTGTGTTGATGAAGACCGCTTGTGTTGACGAAGACCGCTTGTGTTGATGAAGACCGCTTGTGTTGATGAAGACCGCTTGTGTTGATGAAGACCGCTTGTGTTGACGAAGACCGCTTGTGTTGACGAAGACCGCTTGTGTTGACGAAGACCGCTTGTGTTGACGAAGACAGCTTGTGTTGATGATGACTGCTTGTGTTGATAAAGACCGCTTGTGCTGACGAAGACCGCTTGTGTTGACGAAGACCGCTTGTGCTGCGATCGAAACGTCGTGCGTTTTTTGTTTTTATTTTTGATCTAATATATTTTTTTATTTTCTCTCTACGTGACTTTACCGAAAGAACCAATAATATGTATTGATGAACCTAAACGAGGCTGTTTTTATTGCTGCTTGTTTGGATGTTTGCATTCTCCCAACTCTGAATTGGTCAAATAAACAAATAAACGGCCAAACAGTTAGTTCTACTGAGTTGGTGGTCTGGATAATGCACCCCTTTGTGTGTTGTTATATCTGAGCACTGTCCATGAGAATCAGGGCAATCCAATATTAATTTAATTACAATTTCTCTTTTAATTTCTTCATGCGGTGTCCCCATCTGGGCTCTTTGTTGTCCACCCTCTATATTCTCTCATTATCTTCATGTCCCTGCCATCCGTGAACTCGAGAGGCCACCTCCGCTCTTGTTCACCAGCACAACGCCAAATTAATAATAATTTTTTTTATTAATTTCTCTATACATTTGGTCTACTTTATCTTCGTGGCTCATTGTTCGAGAAATCTTAAACATTTTTTTTTGTAAATCTGCTTTTCAGCTAAGATGTACATTTGTGAAGTTAATTGCTTAAATCAAAAGCACATCATTCAGATGAAGGCCGTCAACATGCGGTGGTAATTTACACATTAGCTTTCATAAGCTTCACAGAAACTGAAAGCTTTTAATGATTTTGAAAGATGTCGGCAGTCACTGAAAGGGAAATTGAACAATGAAGGCTCGCACAACCATGTGATTTGCGGCAAAATATTAGATTAATACCATCTCAGTGCTGGCTTCTCACAAAGCCAGCTGCCTAGCAGCCCTGTAACACACACACACACAGGCCCGTTTTTTAGGTGCTTGCTTGAGTTCCAATGAAAACGTACATTTTTTTTTCTTCCAGGAAAATCATGTCATGCTAAGCTGCGTTATGAGCCGCCGTAGAGCCTCCCTGGCAACATTTCTCCACTTGGCCCATTAACCACCGCTTTGGAGACGGACAGCAGAAAGGGGGAAAAAAACCCCTCCTTTTTGGTGCCGCGGTTCTGTCAAAATATTTAGTCCAAAACGTTGGCCAGGATAAATCCTGGGGGCACGGGTCCCGTTGGGGAAAGCTATTGGATATCGCGCAGTTCAAAATTGGCTCCAGGCCGGCACTGTTGCCCCAGGAGTGAGGCCGTCTTTCAGTGGAGGGGCCGGGCCCGCAAGACGCCTCCTGACCGCTGACCTCGCGTCAACCGCAGCACGCAGCACACAGAGCGCCCTCCTGTACGAAGGCGAGGGATTACGACACGGGGGGCGGAGTGGAGTGGGGCACGCTAGGGGGGCACGCTAGGGGGGCACGCTAGGGGGGCACGCTAGGGGGGCACACCGCTCCTTCCAGGGGGGGGGGGGGAGGCCCGGGCCCTGGCCCTGGTGGGGAAAGTCGAACACTTCACGCGAAAGCGGAGGGATTTGAGAAGCGATTTAGTTTGGCACCAGCTGGGATGGTGAATCAAAAAAAAGAATTTGTTTTCATAAACGGCCGTCGAAACGAAACGCAACAGGCACTTGGGGCCCTCCCGACGCCGACTCGAAACCTCAAACCTCAGCCGCACGTCACAGTGGATTCATTTAATTGAATTTTCAGTCGCCGAAAAATTGCTTCGAACGACATTTGTGGTCGCTTATAGCCAGACACGGATTTTCTACCTACAACTTAGCGTTCAACATAACCATAATCGAGTATTTTCCAGCTGTGCGTGAAAAATAGCCCATATTTGGTCTCTTTGGGCAGCCCTGTTGATGCAATTTGTCGGTCACCTGACACCATCAATGTTTAAGGCAAAAACCAAACAAAAGCTGCTATTGCCATCAAATGGATTACATTACACCCTGTAAAAAAAAATCCTGGGCAGTATATATATAGCACATACTTGATATATTACGCACAAGCCAAAGCGATTTCCTGCTCGAATGAGTGTGGAGTGGTGCTCCTTCTCCCTTTCTCAGACCTGAAAATACTTGTGGAAATTCCACTTTACTGTGACGAGGAGTGCCTTCCCCACAAAGGCGGTACTCATGTGATTAATCCTTGGCAGGTTTAAGGGTCGAGTAGAAGCCCGACTACCAAGCCTCCGAGAATGATTTTGTTCCGCCACCTCCGGTCTCAACCAACACCACCCCCCACCCACCCCGTGTCCACCTTCTTTGATGCCTTTTCTCAATCTGTTCCCAGATTCTTCTCCATCGCCACCCAGTTGCGACACGTTCAGGCGAATGCTTTCTCCAACCTCGTGGAGCTCAAGTACCTGTGAGCATTGCAACGCAGACACACATGCGCTGATCCCGCAGGCACATCATTTAGTAGCACTCTCAAGTCTGTTTGTTGTTCAAGCTGAGCGATCACTTGACGCTCATTGCATGAATTTGTATAAAATGAGTACAAGTCGTGTCCACGATAACACGTGAAATTCGTGCGCAGGCTGAACAGAGACTGAGGCACGTGGGTGCCATCTAGAAGCATCCAGCAGCATCCCGATGCCTCGTGCGATGGTGCCACACTGCGGCAGTCACACGACCGCTTATTTTTACTCACGTGACGTAGTTCCGCTTGCTCGATCGAGTTATATCCATTTCGCATCCGCGTTAAAAAAAAGGCGTTCCCTAATATACATTAATCGCATTATATCCAATTTGCGTTGTGAAAACACGCATTGTCTGACGAAAGACTGTACTTTCATTATTGCAATTCTGTACTATTTTCTAAAGAGGGTGTGCGTTTTCCTTCTTGTCGTTGATTTTTCTTTCCCTTTACAGAGAAATTAAACACGCAAAGAATCTTACTCGCATACATCCGCTAGCTCTCCAAAACCTCCCCAATCTCAAGTATCTGTAAGTACTCCTGACGACTTTACAATACGTGTTTTTATTATATTTTATTCACATTTACATGAAATTTCCTTTCGGGCACATTTTGTTTCATTGCGCAAATTTTTTGTTCAGAAAATGTTCCTGGTACAATTACACCGATTCGTAAATAATGCCGAGAAGTTTACGGCGATGTTAATGTCTGCCATAATTGGCGTATCAGCAGGTGTTAGTCGAGCATTGATTATCCATTGAAATCGTACGAGAACTAATTTCCACTTGGGGCCAAAAATATTTGACGAAATTTTGTCCGGAGGCGGGGAAACGGGCAAAATGAATAATAAAATGACAGCGCACAATGGTCGACGGAAAAACAATGAGAGAGAAAAGGTGCAGCCCTGCAATTTCTGGATTACCACCACTGCAGGTGGAAGCGCCTCCACTAGAGGGAGCTGTAGAGAGCACCACTTGGGGTGGTGTCTTGGTCTATTCTTCCCCGCTGGCCTGGCATTTGTTGACCATTATTTGTGGCCAGGTCGCTTCTGAAAAAAAAAAGTCAACACCTCAGTGGCCTCGACCAAGTGGCTTATCGCGTGGATATTTAAAACAGCCAAATACTCCAAATGCATGTTACGAAATGCGGAGGGAAAAGCAGGAAGACGTGGAAGAAAATCCACACTGCTACGGGGATAACACGCAAACTCCAAATATACAACAGGCGTCGAGGTCGGGATTGAACCCACGACCTCCTGCATACCGGGCGAGGTAGTTAACATCTCGCCACCGCGGCGCCAAAAATTGTGCATCACTGACGCCGCTGTGATATTTTTGTCGCTCAGCACCATCACCAACACTGGGATCAGCAGCTTCCCGAACCTGCGATGGGTCCGCTCCACGATCATGGGCTTCATCCTGTGAGTGCATCACCAGCGGCCGGCCACATTGATCGCCAGCTCCAAAACCACCCCGCGTGACCCCGAATTTGTTGTTGACTCCAAAGCGAGCTGCACCGCCGCCGCCACCACCACCACCACGCGCCGCACTGTGAACACAGAGAAATGCCTCGCGGCCGCACTGATATTACCCGAGAACCTTCCCCGTTACCGGAGATGTCTGGCATCCTGCAAATAAATACGTTTATATTACATTTATATGTATAACTAGCTTTACTACCCGGCTTCGCCCGAGACTTGGATTCTTGCCTTGGATTAATACACGGCCTACGCAGAGGGTGGGGGATGCGTGACGTCAGCAGGCACACTGCGTGACGCTGCCGCATGCGGGTGACATCACAGATGTGACGTCACCGCTCACCTGTCGTGCAAAATATATCCATTATTGCGCCCCCCCCCCCCCCCCAAAATGCAAAAGTCAATTTGTATACGTTTTGCATTGTGTACAGTCTGGAAGCTACCCACATGCCAAATTTCAAGTTTGTTACATGTTGGGAAGTACGCTCAACATTTCGAACAGACACACATTCACAAATTTCCCTTTTTTTCTATAGATTTACATATCACCCGTTTTGTAAATTGCTTTGCAAATACGTCGTCACTTCGTAATTGCCACTGCCTGATTTGCGTCGCCTCAACCCCACACTTACATCGCTGACAGCGTCATCCGTCCTTTCTTGTATCCGTCGCCTCAGCTTTTTCCTCCACCTACCCTGTAAATCACTTTGATATACATAGTTTTGATATTCGGTGCACCTTTCAGGAACGTCATTCAGACGTAGACCGGCGTATTACTGTTATTAACATCTATCACATTTAACGAACACGTAATAAAGTCACCCATGAATCACGTGACTTCTGTGTGGCCACCCCCACTCTGAATCCCTCCACTCTCCCAGCCCCCTGTGAAAACAGACTCTGCTCCGTGCAGTTCACTTGTGTCTTGCTCCTTCCTACTATCTCCCTCTCTTCACTATCCTATCATCATCATCATCATCACTGTCTCATCTCCGACATCATCCTTCTCCACTTTCCGCCCTGTCTTGTTCAGCCCTCCATTCTTACTTTTTGCTGCTGCTCATCTTGTGCCGTGCCCTCTTTGTCCATTTTGGGGGAATTTCTGTCCCAGCATCCCATCCTCTTGCTGTTCATTTCTCTTTTCCCATTCATTTGTGGTGTGCCCACGGGTACAAAGTTCCGTATGATTAATTTAATGACATTAAATAATTCCGACAATCACCCTGGAGCATATGTGGAGAGGCTGAGGTTCACTGGATGGGAAATGTGGGAACGGTTTTTTTTTTCTTCTGAAAGAGAATGCATTTTGTTTATGTGCGTAATACATTTAAAATATGAAGGGAAAAAAATGAGAGAGCATACCAACATAGCATGTGGCGTCCAAGGAAATGGGTTTACCCAACTCCATTTGACCAAATTCCATCAGATAAGTACACAGCTTTAGAATTGATAGCGCGCAAATGCATGTGAATTGTTAAATATTCATCAAAGCGATCGGGGAAAGAATGTTACATTTCCTATTGTTGACGAGCGCATCTCAAATTTCATTAAATGTATTAGCATGGAGCTTTAAGCCATATTCTGTCAAGTGCAGGGTATTTACTTTGGCCATTCTTTCTGACTTGCATAAAATTCTGACTTTCTCGAGTCCAGATTTGGGAAGTTTTACTGCACAATATTATTTGGATTTATGGAATAAGATGGTCTTCAGCTTGGGCTTGAACAGGGACAGGAAGTCAACAGTACAGATGGCTGGCGGAACGGGTTTCCAGACCAACTGTAAATATTAGGTAGACAGTTTGATAAATGTACAACTTATCTTGGCCACAGTGAAATATTTTTACATTTGGAGGTCCTTCAGTTTAAGATAATCTAAATTAATGAAACCATATTCTTAACCCCAAATGATCCAGAACTCTCACATTAATCACAGAATGGATCATAGCCGTACGATGGAGCAACCGGTGAGGGATATAAACACTTCTTGAAGAAGGGTTAATTTGTTCATCTTTTTTGCTCTCATCGTGAGACGATTGAATACCGCACCGATGCGAGAGCCATGTGTCTGCCATGCATGCACGCATCGATTATTTTAGGTGGAATTTGACCAGCTTCCGATTGCCATTGTCTGTCCGTTGATAGGGTGACGTCATTTTTGTTTGTTTGCCCCAGGGAGATGGCTGACAATCTCAACATGCCCCTGATTCCTGCCAACGCGTTTGAAGGCCTGAGCTCAGACACCCTCATACTGTGAGTGTTCCACCCAAACGCATCGGTTCATTGATTGAAATATTTGTCTTGTACATACATGCAGGATATTTTTGCGCGTTACATTATTTCAGGGCATTTACATTTGGTCATGATGACAGTGATGATGATGCACACTAACAATAAAACAATAATGAAGTGCCTATACATTTCAGCCATGTGAGACTGTACCATGGAATGGCATTCAATAGCAGTGACGTAATGACGATACCAAGGGGCGTATGAGCACACTTAATTGCTTGGTAGAGCATTCACATTTGTTCTCTTCGCTGCCTTTGAGATTGGAATGTTGCACTTCGTAGGCAGACAACATTTTTGCGTGGCAAATGGATGCACGCTTGCGGAAGGCATTGCTCGGTAGGTGATCTGATAAACGAGAAGCAGCTGCAGAAGTCTTGATCACATGACCATGCAATTGAGAACTCTAGGTTTCCCTTGCCCTGTGAGTAAAACCAATCAATATCCAGCTGTAAATTAGGGAGCCCAAATGTACTCAATTTGCTTCTCAACATTTTCTAGTTATACGCATAGAAATCACCAAATATATATATTTTTTAAATTCAGTTTTGTTCAGGCATTTTGGAATATTATGACAATCACTGATTCGGTCACAATCATAAAGTTGTACATCAATGTCCAAGTGCATTGTGCACTCGGATACAATGATTGCAAATAATAATTTAGAGTCATTTGTCAATACACTTCTGGATGAAGAACCTGCACGCGCCATGTCATTCACGGCAGTTGTTTGACCGTACTTCACCAAACTGATCAGTGCGGGTTTGTGAAGGGGTGGCACCCAGGATTGGTTAAGACATTATTCGCCATTGATGTTGGAATGTCCAGATTTTTCCTGGCACGTTAAATTTACACATGCTGCATGTTGGGTCGCTCATAAGCTATTGTACGTACGCTGTACTTCTTTCGCACCGTACCTCGCCAATCGTGCTAAGCAGAGGGTTGCTGGCTGGTTTGTCAGAAGGGATGGCAATGGTTTGGGGGAGCCTTCATGCAGCAGTGGATTCATGATGGCCGATGACGATGATGATGAGAACGATGATGCCGTCTTGTTTGCTAACGTTGTTGTACAACAGGAGGCTGTACAACAACGGCATCAGAGAAGTGAAGAGTCACGCGTTCAACGGCAGCCGACTCCACCGAGTGTGAGTCGTCTCTGGCAGTGCATGTCATTCACGTTGTACCATTCCATTTCACACGCGTACATGCGCCGCGTGGTACATCTCACAAAAGTCTTCGCTCCCGCGTCTTGTCATTCTTCCCGCGCAGGGAGCTGTACAGAAATGAACACCTGCAGAAACTCGACAATAACGCTTTCGCCGGCGTGCTGAGAAGTCCGGACTACCTGTATGTTAAACAGGGCGCGCTCGAGAAACACACACACAGACACAATTGCCTGCCTCCGTGCTCTCTCACGTAAATAAAGACTGTCCCATAATGAATATACCAACGAGAACGTTGAATAGTTTATTGTTATTCGAGATACTGACATCAATTTAATGTGAATACATGTAATAGACATGAGTTTTAGTTATTTTGTTCATGGCCACTATTAGATATTCTCGAATTATTAATACATAGCTACATCGCTCATCGTTGACTACAGTCAATCAAATTAGGCGTTCAAACTCTGAGAAAACGTTTTCCAACACAGCTGTAGGGATGGATGGTGACACAGCAGAATAAACAATATGATACTCTTTGGTTCTATTGGGTAAAGTCACGTAGGTAAAAAATAAAATAACAAAAATCACGACGTTTCGGCCACAACACAAGCGGCCTTCATCAGGTGAAGGGACGAGACTGTCTGGAGGACAGTCTTTTACCCAATAGAACCAAAGAATATGGATCCTTGCAGTCACGAAAGCTTTAAATCTAGAATTAAACAATACGATGTTTAATTTCTAACAAGGGACACTTGGTTTGCTAGTGTAAGACTTTCACTTAAAACAAAAAAAAACTAACAGATAAAAAAAAATCTAATGGTGGTAAGTCGGGTGAACGGGCAGACTTGTCATTATATCAGAAACTGGGGTTTTCTCCTAAAACAGCAAGAAAGTACCAACTAATATTGGTAACAATTTAAAACGTATGTCTAATGCATATATTGACATCAAATCCTGGTTGGAGTTTGACGAAGTCTCTTCGGGGTCAATAAACCTCTTTGTGGGGGAAGTGAGGTCATCCAATGGATATAATCTGCTCACACCATAGGAATAGAAATAATTTACACCACAGCAATCAGGGTGACAAACTGGTTGGTCTACACCAGAGACAGCTTCCTGTAGAGCAATCGGTTTCAAAGACAATGCCATATATTATCAGAGGATGTTTTTTTGTTTGGATGTTCACCACAAGCACGTGTGGTTAATGCAGACAGGATTCCTTGAATAAGGATTCAGTTCGGTGTTATAACATCTTGACACCTATATTTTTGGTTCTTTCCGTAAAGTCACATAGAAGGGAAACAATAAAATAATAAAAATATAAAACAATAAAATTCTCACGACGTTTCGACTGCAACACAAGCAATCATCATCAGGTGTGAAAACCACAGCAAGAAAATTTGAAAAAAGTGGCGTTTTTTTAACGTTAGCACCACGGAGAGCGATTTGGCAGTTATTCAGATGGACGACTCCATCTATGTTTGGAAAAGAGGAGGGGGGAGACGAAAATAATGGATGCGGTTTGAAAGCCACCGTAAGCGTGAACAATCAATTAAAACCCGAAATGGTTTATAAAATCCTTCCAGTGATTGCTAAGCCAGAATCCATTTGCACCATAGAGCCCAATGCATATTCGACCAGGAACACATAGCCAGTGAACTCATGCACGTACACAAAGCTCTTAAGGCTAATGGTTACTCTGATTACACAATCCGCAAAGCTATCACTCCAACCATGAAGAAGGATCCTCTTGAGGAGTCTTTCAAAACCATCACTTTACCCTACATTGCGGGGATCACAAAAAAGATCTCCAAAATCTTGAATAAACACAAGATCCAGGTCCGATTCAACACATTACGTAAAATCCGTGATCTGGTTCCATCTGTAAAAGATGTGATTCTGGACATACAGTACCCTGGCGTCTACAAACTAAGTTGCCTCTGTGGTAGTAGTTACATTGGAGAAACCAAACGACATGTCTCGGACCGCATTCGTGAACACAAAGCAGACCTAAAACACGGTAGGACCAACACCTCGGCCGTGGCAGATCACTGTTATAATTCAGTAGGCTCACATGAGCCTACTGAATTATAATTATTCTCCAAGACAGAGGTTCTCTGCAAGCCATCTGGTTACCATGACAGATTCGTTCATGAGGCTATCCACATATACAAACAGAGACAATTTCAACCGAGAAGATGGATTCTGGCTTAGCAATCATTGGAAGGATTATATAAACCATTTCGGGTTTTAATTGATTGTTCACGCTTACGGTGGCTTTCAGACCGCATCCATTATTTTCGTATCCCTCCTCCTCTTTTCCGAACATTGATGGACTCGTCCATCTGAATAACTGCCAAATCGCTCTCCGTGGTGCTAACGTTAAAAGAACCGCCAATTTTTTTCAAATTTTCTTGCTGTGGTTTTCACACCTGATGATGATTGCTTGTGTTATAGTCGAAATGTCGTGAGAATTTGATTGTTTTATATATTTTTTTATTTTATTGTTTCCCTTTTACGTGACTTTACCGAAATAACCAAGAATATGAATCTCTGCAGTCGCGAAAGCTTTAAATCAAAATCTTGACACCTGTTTCATTGGCAGAAAGGGTTGAAACCTATTGTTATATTTTAATACTTGCAAGAAAGCTCCCATATTGTTCTAACTTGTTTTCCCGCCCTCCACCGCTGCGTGGGACCTCCAGTGACGTGTCTTGGACCGCCATTGAGTCCCTGCCAAGCCAGGGCCTGGACAACCTGCGCATCCTGCGAGCCGAAGCGACCACGCGCCTCAAGCATCTGCCACCAACCTCGGTGCTCAAGGCCCTGCTCAACACGTCGCTCACCTACCCGAGCCACTGCTGCGCCTTCCGCGGCATGAAGCGGCAGTTGGGGTGAGACTTTTGCCCTTGGCTCCTTAGCAAGGCCGAGCGGTGGCTACAATTTTTTTCGACGCTTTGCTTTTTGTGGAGGCCTCCTCGGTTCGTCCTCCCAACGGCCGCCCTGGTTGACACTTGCGGGAATCTTGAACCCAACATGGATGCACTTGCCAACTGCGCCGCGGTGGACGTAAAATATATTCCGCCGATATTATTCGAGAAAGAGTAGTACCGGTCGGTGTCACAGTCTTAATTTGGTCAAGTTTCTAAATTGCTCTTAAATTACTTAGCAACTACTTAAATTCAATAAATGGATAAAACCTAAACATTACTATTGCCTCTTACTGTGAAACTACTGCAAGCTATACTCATCTGTGAAACAAATGGCCTTCATGATAGCCTTGCGCTGCTATAAGAATGATCAAAACTACGAATGGTTAAGAGTTGATTTTATTCACTCTGCATCGCATTATACTCTTTGGAACATTGAAACTTCAAATCCTGTTTTTCTCATGTTCGTATCATCATCATCATCAGCCATGATCTATCCACTGCTGGATGAAGGCCTTCCTCTAAGCCATCGCAATTCCCTCGCAGTTATGCGAAGCTATTTTTTCCTCGGTGGAAAGTCTCTCAGGCGAGTTCTGTTCTATTGCTATGACCTTGCTCGATTCAAGAAATGTGTTTTGCGCTTATCTTCTGTACAACTATTAGTGCTGTCTTTTTGCTGGCTTCGGAATTCCATCCAAAGCGTTCTTACAACCTTGCTCAATTCAAGAAAAGTGTCAACTCTTATCTATTACAAACTTTAACAGTGCTGTTTGTTTCTGGCCGCTTAACGTTTATAAGGCCTTTGGACCTACTGTGCTATGCAACAACAAACCAAAAGCCACAAAACTATTGAAGAGCTTTACAGCGCAATCATGAAATAAATATTTGCAGCTGTACGACGATTACTCTAAGCACCTTCTCACTTAGAAGTAAATAAGAACAATCATAATTAAAGCACAACATTGCAGCGGGCCCTACCCCTTCATCCATCCTTTATCCTCCCCTCCTCCGGTACATAGCTTAGTTGCGTTGGGTCGGCTTTTTGCGATGGGAGATCCTCCAACTGGAACACGTGACTGGATGTATCGGGTCCGTGAGTTGTTCCATAAAAGTTTAAATAAAAATTAAAAAGCAATTGCAAACATTGCTTAATAAAATTAAATACAGGCTCGTTTAAAGAAGAAAAAAATACACGCACAACATTGCTTTTGCGTGTGTTTTGCACTCTCTCCCCCTCAATCAAGAAGGTCGCTGGAGCTGCATTGCAACCAGACGACCCTGTACCGCTCGCGCATACGCAGGGCGGCGGCCCTGACACAGGGCAAGGCGCCTCCACTCGGCATCGACGCCAACGGCAGCAGCAGCGGCGAGGCGTGGAGCTCTGGGGAGGACGACCGGTCGGCGCAGAGCGGCCACTACTACTTGCCCTTCCTGGAGGAGCCCGAGGACACCAACGTCGGTTTCGGGGAGCAGATCCGCGTCACCAAGAGCAAGGGCTCGGCCACCTTCGAGCACTCCTACGGCGGTGACCCGTTTGAGTTCTGCATCCCCCGAGACATCACCTGCTTGCCCAAGCCCGATGCCTTCAACCCGTGCGAAGACATCATGGGCGACGAGTTCCTGCGGATGAGCATCTGGTTCGTCAGCCTCCTGGCGATCGTCGGCAACCTCTTCGTCCTCCTCATCATCCTGACGAGCCACTACAAGCCGACGGTGCCGCGCTTCCTCATGTGCAACCTGGCCTTCGCCGACCTCTGCATGGGCATCTACCTGCTCATCATTGCCGGGTTCGACCTGTACAGCCGCAGCGAGTTCTACAACCACGCCATCGACTGGCAGACGGGGCCCGGCTGCAACATCGCGGGCTTCGTGTCAGTGTTCGCCAGCGAGCTGTCGGTCTACACGCTCATGGTGATCACGGTGGAGCGCTGGCACGCCATCACCTTCGCCATGCGCCTCGACCGCAAGATCCGCTTCCGCCAGGCGCTCGGCGTCATGGCCGGCGGCTGGCTGTTCTCGGTGGTCCTGGCCGGCATGCCGCTCTATGGCGTGAGCAGCTACTCCAAGGTGAGCATCTGCCTGCCCATGGAGGTCGAGACGTTCGTGGCGCAGGCCTACGTGGTCACCGTGCTCGCGCTCAACGTCCTGGCGTTCGTGATCATCTGCGCCTGCTACGTGCACATTTACATCACCGTGCGTAACCCCAACTACATCTCGGGCAACCAGGACACCAAGATCGCCAAGCGCATGGCCATACTCATCTTCACGGACTTCATCTGCATGGCGCCCATCTCCTTCTTCGCCATCTCGGCGGCGTTCAAGCTGCCGCTCATCACGGTGTCGCACTCCAAGATCCTGGTCGTGGTGTTCTACCCGCTGAACTCGTGCGCGAATCCCTTCCTCTACGCCGTCTTCACCAAGACGTTCCGTCGCGACTTCTTCATCCTGCTGAGTCGCCTCGGGTTCTGCGAGGCGCGAGCGCAGCTCTACCGCGGGCAGACGGCGTTGAGCGTCCACCCGTCGGGCGTGCGCAACGGCAGCTGGACGTCGAGCCACCGTGGCAGCGGTGGGACAGTGTACACGCTCGTCGCCCTCAACGGCAGGGATGGCGCGGCCGGCAAGGGCGGCGGCGGCGGCGGCGGCGAGGTGCCCGGCGTCGTGTCGCCGTGCGCCGCGAATCCTGGCACGTGCGTGCGGTGCGTCCTGTGAGCGGCCCGGAGCGCCATCTCTTCCCGTGGCTTTTTTGTGTGATTCTGCGACCCTCGGGGCAAGCTGAAGGTGTCCATGTACGAAGTGCTGTTCAAAAGTGAAAATATCTTTGAGCACAAAAAAAAAACTCTTACGCCTTCGCGACAGATGTGGAACTTGGATACGCGTTTCAAACTGGTGAAGCTTGCTTGTTTTTTTTTTTGCCAGGCCAAAATCAGTATGTTTGGAAAAACATTTTGGGACAATATATATCCTTTAGTTTCAAGTGTAATGGATGGGTGTGGGACATCAACCATATAGGGAACAACTTTTGGATACAGCGGCCATCCCCGTTTGGAGGGGGAGTCCCACTCATTACCCCGTCAATGTGACTGTTGGGCATCAGCCCCTCTGTGGCTCGTTGCCATGACAATTTCACGGTGCAGAAGAACCACCACTCGATAATTTCAACTGCACGCTGAGAATTTTCGTGAGATAAGTTCTCTGCAAAAGAAAACCCAGCCAAAGGAAATCTGCATCTTTTTTTTGTGCCCACGAGGTTCACTTTTTTTTAGTCCGTTGAGACGAATGTGACTTGAATTATTGCCGCTGCTGAAGAGCTTTACGGTTCCAAAATAAAATAGTTTTAAACATTATGAGAGTTATAAATGTACACAAATTTGGGTACGTATGTAAAAAAAAATGGAGAATTTTTTTTTGGTATTTTTTAAGCAATCATCAGTGTTGTCAGTAACAGTTTTGCAGAATTTGACTCGCCAGGGCATGTCATCGCTGCGCATAAAATATGCATCATCTTGATCATTTTTTGAGTGTATTAAGAGGACAGAGGTGAACGGTGATCCTGGGAACTCACATCACTGACAATCGATTCCCCCTTCATCAAAGGGGCATTGGTTCCACTGTCAGTGTAGAGAGAGATTGGGTACCCGCACGTTTACCCACCAGGTGTGATCCACAAATCGAGTTGTGCTAAGCGCCCCGTTGTGTGCACGGCATGTAGACACGAGTCATGCCGATGAAGAAGGCTGATGAATGCCCTCCACAGGCCTATCCTCGAAAGAGCTCGGAAGGAGCGGATGTTTCAGGAGACCGAGACACACTTTGTTTTTAGTGACCCGACCATTTATCTTAATTTTGGTGCTGGAGGCCGGGGGGGGGGGGAAGGGGGCTTCCTACACACGTCGTCCATAATCCAAACAGAAAATGTGTACAAATGTAATTGCAGTTTACGGTCCTTTTTGGTGATTTTTTTTATTGTAATCGCGAACGTATTCATATTCTGTAATTAATTTGAAACTGTCGGGTGTTGTAACGTTATATATCTATTTGCAATTGTATGTACACTTTTTTTTTTAAATCTCTGCGGTGCCTGTGTTATTCGACTCGATGCCATTTGTTGTCTCGTCACAGTTACTTTAAGTTGCGTATTTTTCTATCGCGTGCAGGAAAAAAACACAAGTGGCCACGTCATTCAGCAAGCTGCTCAAGCCGCAGCAAAATAATGCAAATGTATGGTCAAAAAAGCAAGTCCGTTGCGCTAGTTTTCGCTTGCTCTCCGATTTGTTACCAGCTTGTACCGCGTATTTTAATTCATCTCTTGAATTAGAATCTCCAGCACGTGGAGTGGAACATCCGGCAAAATGCGAACGGCACGCGGTACGACCCCCAAAAAACGCATAGAAGAGCTTCCACAGCCACCAAGCTCTACGCGTGGAGTTTTTTTTATTGTTAGAATTCCAAACAGCAAATGTTTGCACTGGGATCTATGAGCCTCTTTGAAAGCCTCTGAACTTCAACATTTTTTGTTTCTGATTTAAAGCAAACGAAAATTGTAAGTGTTAATTGCTCAAAGACGAGCGTGTGACCTCAATCATAAAGGTAACCAATACTATGCTTGCTTGCTAGGGATGGCCATTTATAGGCCCTATGCGACGTGAAAAGTCAAGGTAGTTGGAGCTTGTAATACATTCTTGCGAAACCCCTGCCCCCCCACACACATTTGTACGTGTGCAGTAGAAGTTATTGAAGGCAGGCCACACTCAAAATTATGAAATAAAAAGGTGGATGAGAAGCAGGTTGGAGTACGTTTAGGAATGCTGAAGTGGATAATGAGAGCCACATAGCAATACGCTTCAAGGAGTATTTGTTTAATCAGTGTGCACCACCTGCGTATGGATTCAAAACACAGTGATGAATGATAAAAAAATACGAAAGAGTGTGCAAAGGAGCATGGAGAGATGCATGCCTGGAATACATTGAGAGACAGAAAGAGGAACACGTGGATGAGAGAACTTATGAAGGTGAATTCCATCATCCAAATTGTAGAAAAAGAAAGTCAGTGGGCTCGGGCCGGACGCGTCACGGATACAAGGGACACAAACGATGGTCAAGAATAAGAACGGAGTGGCATCCAAGGATTGTGGAATACATCTGAGAGAACATTCACGAAGGAGACGGAGTGATGAGATCAGTTCACGTGCAGCTGCTGGGTGGATCCTTGCATTCGAAGGATCGTGAGGGGTGATCGCAGTTGTGAATAAATCTTTGCTTTTGATTTAAAGCTTTCGTGACTGCAGGGATTCATATTCTTGGTTCTTTCGGTAAAGTCACGTAGAAGGGAAACAATAAAATAATAAAAATATAAAACAATTGAATTCTCACAAATTTTGATTTAAAGCTTTCGCGACTGCAGGGATTCATATTCTTGGTTCTTTCAGTAAAGTCACCACGTAGAAGAGAAACAATAAAATAATTGTATTGTTTTATATTTTTATTATTTTATTGTTTCCCTTCTACGTGACTTTACCGAAAGAACCAAGAATATAGATCTTTGCTTGTTCCAACCGTAAGAACGAAACATTTCGTAGCGTCCACACATTTCGCGAAATGTGCACATCGCCGTTGCGATGTGCACAAAAGGCGCTTCGGTTCGTCGCTTGCCAGCCCTCAACAAAGTGCAGCACCCTCAATTGACTCCTGAAGGGAGAGGAAGTTTGAATTATTTGTGTGTGGAGTGGGAGAGTTCTCGATGATGGGAGCAGCCACGGAGAAGATGATGATGATGATGGAGAGAGCACGAGGGCAATGTACCGAAGTAAGGTGTTTATTTTATTTCAGCACACATACTATTTCTGTTTGAGTGCATTTGAAATAAATATTTTTTTTTACTATAAAAAAGATGTTCAAATATTCACCTTTCAATATGGGGGTGGCTAGTCAGCGCCACACCCGGCTGCCTTTGTCTCCCGAAGTGGCTATGTTTACACATCACACCAGGTAGGGGGCCATCCATTTAGTACGTACGCATGGAGGGGGGAGGGGGGGTTAACCAAAATGCGTTCGCTTGCGTATTGGGGGGTCTACTGACAATGCACGCATAGGAAACGGGGGGGGGGGGTGTGAAGCCAGGATCAAGAATGTGTAACCTAACTTAATTTGAAGCTTTCGAGGCCGCAGGGATCCATACTCTTTGATTCTTTCGGTAAAGTCCATGTAGGTAGAAATAAAATAAGATAAATCACGACGTTTCGAACACAACACAAGCGCCCGTCTTCAGGTGAAAATCGCGACCTGTGTTGCGTTCGAAACGTCGTGATTTATTTTATTTATACCTACGTGACTTTACCGATAGAACCAAAGAATATATCACCTGTTCGACTGGGTTCAGTCGGCGTTTGAACCTAGCGGACACTAGACAAACTTGTTAATGGTACGCAACTTAATTCTTTAATGCAGCCGGCGGTGGACCATCTGTTTGCTTGAAACACGTTAATATTATTAATCCTTGATCGTTTCTGCGTGGATTAAATATCGGCCGTTCTATAGGATTCGTGGGCGGGGGGGGGGGTTCGTCAAGCGTACGTACGCAGGTGGTGGGGGGGGGGGTAAAAAGTACGCGTGCGTACAGGTAGGGGTCAAGTTTTGACAGATACGTACGTACTAAATGGATGTGCCCCTAATCATTTGAGGCTGAGTCGACTTAGGGGAGGCCCGAGACCGGTTCAGATAATCGTCACTGGTGTTGGCCTTGAGCAGCGTCGCACACTCACCGCTGCCAACACAAATCAGCAGTGTGGATGTAAACCGTAAATGCTATATTAATGTTCCCTTTGATTTCCCGTGTTTGTGTTTTGGAGTGTGTTTGTGTCTTTGTTTTCATAAAGATATGTGACTGGGGTTGCCTCTTAACTTTGTATGTCTCAGTGTCAAATATGATACAAAAAACACAGTCGCAACAGCAGCAGCAGCAGCAGCAGAAACAACAACACGGTCATCGTCATGATCAGCTGCTACATCATCCGAATATTCACCATCATCATCATCATCGCCACCACCATCATCCGCAAGCGCAGTGATCCCTGCTGTGATGAGACTCAGGGCACACCCGTGGAGAAGAGCGCCTTGGACTCTCGGCGCTCATGGATGAATTCTCATGCGCACATTACAATGGTGGTGTCGAGTCACCCCGCCGGGTACTCGTCGTGTGTGACCGAGATGTTTGCCGTGAGCGCGAGACAAATAGTTGGGGGGGGAGGGGTGTGTGCCATCTTCTAAGCGTGGGGTGTGTGTTCCTGTGCGACAAAGATCTGTAAGAACGTTCTCGACACCGGGCGCAAGTTTGGTGTACGTGTAATCTTCTGGGAGCATCTAATAAGCCGTCTAATAAGTCGTCTAATAATCCGTCTAATAAACCGGGTGGCATCCAATGAACCGAGTGGCATTTAGTAAGCCGGGTGGATGTAGCTCACAATCAAAAGAAGGCACATTGCATATGCAGTAGTTGTACAATATTCATGTCTGTGTGTGGTGTTTGTACATTGGGCATATGCAGAATAGTATTGTTGATTTGATGTGACCTACATAGACATCTCTACACAATGCCACCTCCAATGGATTGTGATTGCCTGTTACATAGTCCTCACATTTCCGATTAATCTTACAATACCTGCCTTTCACGCGTGCAAATTACAGGTTTACTGCAGATGCGTGCATTTACACAGGGCGATCTATTTAAAAATACGCCACCAATTTCCAATGACCTTACTTCTCAAGTAGTTGATTGAATGCTGTGGAAACAATGCAGGGTGCATGGGGAGTAGTTGAAAGGATTTAATTACTTTATTTTGATTAGAGGCAGACATGGGGAGGCTTCAACATTTTTAATGTATGTATGTATGTATTCTCTATAATTATCTACGTTATTATTTGTGGGGTGTATATAGATTACCCCGTATACACAATGCGGGCTTCATGTCTTTGTTACTTCGGGGGTAAGTGTTTTGTTCTTTGTTGGATTTATGAAAAAGATGACAAAACAACAACAACGGTTAGTATTGTTGGATCTTTCGGTAAAGTCACGTAGAAGGGAAATAATAATAATAGTCACGAAAGCTTTAAATCGAAACAACGGTTAGGTTTGTTTTTTTGTCCTGCTACATTCAGTACACAGTAACACGTGAAAGATATATTTCCCTTTTGCCAGAGTTGAATATTTGTTTATTAATATAGGGAGAGTGGTTCGTGAGAGTTTGTATGACTGCATCATTTTCTACAGCGTTGGATTTTTTTGAGTATGAAAATGATAGGTATAATGGTATTTAAAATTAATTCGTCTTCATCAAAATTTGATGAACATGTGGTCAATAGTAGCGAATATTTTCCTAAACCCTACTCGCTCTTATGATTTGTCTGGCCGATACATGTTTTGCTATTCTATTCCCAATTATCTCTATGACCAATTATATGCGTTGTTAAGCCTGCATTACATATACATTTTTTTGACATGGAACAAGTAGCAGAGTAAATATTAAAAGGGCAGTCAGCGAAGGTGACACATTTTCACCAACGTTATTCACAGGGACAGTGAGATATAGTTTCCAAAATATAGGATTTTTTCCATTGCATAAGCAATGGGGAAAACGTGAACCATGTCAGACTTTCTAACCACACACTCATTATAACGTCCAGTGGGAATTAATTACTTACCAGCACGGTGGGCTACGCATGGCGCGAAATAAGTTCAACGTCCATACATACATACGAACAAGGCTAAAATTATGTAAAAGTTCGCTTAACAATTGGAGATATGTCACAGGGCCACAACTAGAAAAGTCAGCAGAATCAGTGTACCTATAGGGCAGGTATTGAAGGCAGATTGGAATCAACATGACGAAGTAAAGGGGCAGACAAAGAGCAGGCTGGAAAAGATTTTGGAGAGCTGAACTTGATCGTGAAATGTAACATGTAAATATGTTTAGAGATTATATTTTCGTGAAATAAATGCATATATTACCTGAAATGACATGTAGATCAGAAACAATAACAATGAAAATGCATCGTTGAAATGTATACGTAAATATATAATAATAAAAAATGCATAAAGCACCCGTAAACAATCGTTCTCAGGGCGCTACGCAAGGAAAGGTGTAAATAGTTAAACATCAACCAAGGAAAGAAGAGTTTAAAACGTAGGGAAAATAAAAGCAAAAACAAACCTGTGTTACGGAAGGAAAGATTTGAGAAAGACGTTTGAAAATAACGAGAGAGAAAAAAAAGCCATTTTAGCAGATTCGTTTTCAGTCGAGGTTTCATTGTGTGTAAAGTGTCTCAGAAGTCCCCTGACCGTGACGAGGCAACGAGTTCCAGAGTTAAGGTGCCGCAATTGCAAAGCTGCCGTCAGTTCAGTTTCATAGTTTCATTTATTTTGGTGTAGCCCTGTGAGCCATTCGGCTCTTGAATCGGGTGCAACCACAACAAACAAAAAAACAAAAACACGAACAAGAAAAACATCTTAAAGTGACTATGTGACTGTGCAAACAGAAAATCCATGAATAAAAACCCAGCAAAATATTCCTGAAAAAAGCACCGTGCACCAACGCTGTGTGCAAAAAAATCCCAGTGGGATGCAAGTCAAACAACAACCACAAGAAAACGTAGATTAAGGCCATCAGCCTAACTCCGTACTACAACAAAACAAACATGTCCAAACCAAAAAACGTTTTAAAAATCACCAAAAAATAAAGCCATAATTGCAACGTAACAGTGATCATAGG